TTTTTTTTTTTTTTTTTTTTTCGTTTTCGAAAAAAATCTTTTCAGAAATGCGTCCGGCCCCAAATGTGGACCGTATGGTCTTGTCATATGCACGCATCGAGGGCGCAACAGGACTTCAACTGATTGCCTCCCAGATTCCTCCAGACACAGAAGATGATGATGAGAACGACCCTCAAGCTGAAAACGACGAAGGTCGGTATTATCTTCTTCGAAAGAATCCCCTACCCCCGCCGCCCCCTTCCTCTCTTCCTCCAGTCTTTTTTTTTTTTTTTTTTTTTTTTTTTTCTTTACGGAACAATGACTTTATAAAAGCCGGGAACCGGGCCCTGCGTCCCTTACAAAATTAGGTGGGGCCCTCAGTGGGCAAGGCACCCCCGCCTCTCTCATCACAAACAAATACCCGTGGCGATATGATGAGCGGTCTTTATATATTATATTATTATGATTTTATTATTATTATTATTATTATTATTATTATTATTATTATTATTATTATTATCTAGGCTACCAGAGTGGCACGGGACCACTTGCCCGGCCGGGCCAAAAAAAAAAGAAAAAAAAAAAATATTTTTCAAATTTATTTTTTATTTAGAATTTGGTAAAGAATTTAGATTTGACCCTGAGGCAATAGTTGTTCAGTTTTGTTTCTTGCATAACATAGTTTTTTTTCGGAATTTTTGGATTTTTTTTTTTTGCTGGGACCTGCTGGGACCCCCCCCGGTCCCTGCACGGCCGGGCCGCCCGGGAAAACGGGGTGTCCCGGGCGGCCCGGCTGGTAGCCTAGATTATTATTACATTATTATTATATTATTAGGCATAATTTGCAAAATATCCCCAAAAGTTGAGACATATGCCAAAATGCCCCTAAAAGGTGTGGGTAGAGAGGAATGCCCCTCTGACAAAAGAAATATTTTGTGAAATACCCCTGGCGTCGGTTGAACCCTCATCTTTGCAACATACCCCTACCGGGTACCGTCCAACTTTGTAAAATGCCCCCCTAGCACTTGCCAACTTCTCCTAGGCGCTATTGCAAAAAAGACCAAGGCCCAAACCGCAAGAGGTCCAGATTGCAAAGTTGCGCACCCGCCTGACAGGGGCACAACACAAAGATTTTGGCCCAAAAGGGCATTCCACTCTACCCACGTCTTTCAGGGCATTTTGGCATATATCTCAACTTATGAGGGTCTTTTGCAAATTATCCCGAATATTTAATGTTGTTATTATGATGATTATTATTATATATGATGATGATTCTTATTAATTTAGCATTCTTTGAGCAATCGAAGATGGAAAATTCAGTTGCGATCCAGCGGCCTAGCTCAGTTGGTAAGGCACGCAAGTGGCATTCAGGAGGTCTTGGGTTCAATCCCCATTGGCCTCATGCACCTTCCTGGGCGAGCTTGGCGCCCGCCACCTAGAGATATGCCACCTAGAGATATGCCGTTGGTCCCCCCGAGTGGCATTGAGCAGAGACTGCTGATGTTCATAGGGGGAGGGGACCACCACCGGAGAGGAGGCACAGTGACTGGCCCATCGAAGAAGAAGCTCGGTCCTGATGCTACCGGCTGACCCCTGGCTGTAGCAGGTATCGCCCACCTGCTGTAGCAGGTATCGCCGCACCAACTGCTGGTGGGTGCAGCTCCCGCATGTTCCCCCGTTGGAGGCTGGAGCGCGGATGTGGCTGCTACGGGGTTCCCCGTAATACTATAATGACAATAAAAAAGGCCTGAAAGTCCGTCCTGTCCAGAATTGACAGGTAATTGAATTGGTTGGGCTTAAAGAATTAGCCTTTTTAAAAAGTAAAAAAAGAAAATTCAGTTGCTGGAAGAATTGAAAAGATGGAATTGTCCTTCGGGACATCCGTTAAAATTGCAACGATACAGAGAAGATTAGCATGGCCCCTGCGCAAGGATGACACGCATAAATCGAGAAATGGTCCAAATTAAAAAAAAAGAAAAAAAAAAAAARAAAAAAAAAAAAAGAAAAAAAAAAAGATGGAATTAGCCAAGGGGCCCAGCTCAGGTGGTACACCTATGAACTTTTGAAATGCAGACCCAAGTTCGAATCCAGATGGCCAATCACGGCCGACTCTGGATGTATCTGATCACAATTACGTCCAGAGCCGAGCCGAGCCGAGCCGAGCCGAAAAATCCCTGTTGTGGGCACACCCTAAGTAGCGTTTCTGTCTGATAGTTCTGGAAATCCGAGAGGGAGGGCATAGTTGAACGAGGGATGTGTCCCCCTCCACCCCGCCGAAAAAAAAAAGGAGGCATGTTAGGGGCCTCGCCGCACGGCACAAATAACGAAACGAAACGATCACCAGAGTCGCGAGGCCTCGCGAATCCCTGATCCACCGTTTCTCTTCGTTTTTTGCCTCACCGCCCCACAGCACACACGAAAACTCTCGCGACAATGCCCTGGCGAGAGTAGTGCGGGATTCGCTTCGCTACGGTCCAAATTTGTGGACGCTACGGTCCAAGTTTTTGGATGGACATCGGTTGGAGCGATGCAGCACAGTCGTGAGATTTCGCAGCTCCTCTACCCTACCAGCGGAGGACCTACGAGTTCGCGAGTGCTGCAGGCAGGGAGGTGAGTCGGCACGCTCGTGAGGGCTCGCGAACTTGGAGACTGACAGCATCCACGAGTTTTTCCTGACAGAGGTCGTGTGGGTGCTATGCGGCGACTGCTTCACGAAACGAAGTTGTTGTTTTTTTCGTTTCGTGCACCATGCGGCGAGGCCCTAGGTCGGGTTGGCGGCACGGTCACAGGGCCCCCTGCTCCGTGCTTAACTACTTGCCAATCGCGATGTAGTGTCAGAAAGGTACATCCCAATCCCAACCCCAGTTGTGCAGAATTGGGGTCTGGCCACACCGCTCACCAAATGTGCAAAAAATGAGCACTACTCTCGAAATGTGCAAAAAATGAGAATGAATCTTCTGCTACAACATGGAAAGATCCACCACCATATTTTTTGTCTTTTGTGCATGTGGAGAGTAGTGCAGCGAGGCCCATTCTCTGGGCCTCGCTGCACTACTCTCCACATGCACAAAAGACAAAAATATGGTGGTGCATCTTTCCATGTTGTAGCGGAAGATTCATTCTCAAGATTCATTCTCATTTTTTGCACATTTCGAGAATAGTGCAGCCAGGCCCTGAGAATGAGTTTTCCGCTAGAACATGGGAAGACGCACGGCCATAATTTTTTTGTCTTTTATGCATGGGGTGAGTGGGGGCGCGAGGCTCTTGAACCGGAATTTGTGTGGAAGCAGCAAAGAAAACGCGGCAAAAAAAAAAGAAATAGAAAAACGATAGCAGAATGCTGCGCGGAAAAAAACCCAGCAAAGCAAACCAACTTTATTAAGCATTAGGGCCTCACCAACACCACAGTTCTGTCAAAAAAGAAAAAAAGAAAAAAGAAAGGACAGTGCTGGGCCGAAGGTAAGGTAATAATTGACAAGTGGGATGCACACAAAGTAGAACGCATTTTTTTAATTTTATTTTTGTAAATTTAAAGCGTGACAGCTCTGAGATATCATCATCAAACTGATAGGCCAACTCTATTTAACCATTATGCAAGTAAAGTCCAAATGACCTGCATTGTAAAAAAAAAAAAAAAAAAAGCGAATGATCTGCGTTGGAGCAGAACTCCTCGCCAACTCCACTTTTTTCTGTCGAAATTGAAAATTGACAATGCTGCGCCGAAGGGCGGTACTTTGGGCCCTCTGGAGACGGCGATGTACCTACGAAACGGAACGGGTAAGACTAGATGGCCCGGAGTTCGTTGATAGTATCCAACAGCAGATCCAAACGGAAATTGCTGCGAAATGGGAATCTGTCAAAGTCCAGACAGAGACATTAATCTCAAGACATGACATCCAACGCAAAATTCAAAATTTATCCTCGAGCTGGCTGGGGGGGGACAAAGGGGGAAGGATAGGGAGAGTGGAATGGAGAGGTGGACAGGAAACAGGGGAGGGATTAGTCAGGGACTATCGGCTTCTTTTCAACGACTGGACAAAGATAGACGCAGCTATCCCAATGAAATCCGCCCAAGAATTCCCCGATCTCTTCCCGCCCCCCTCAAATAGCATAGTAGACTTAGAATGGTATGGGAGAGAGGGATGAAAAGAAGGGAGAGAGGTCGGGTCTGAGGCTAGTAGTAAACTGTCAATTTTCTACCCTTCAGTCGGGGCTGGGTTTCTGTCCTCAAGAGGATGTGCAGTGGGGGGAGGAAGGGACCAGCAGGTGAATGATAATATCTGGCGCCGTTCTCAAGGTGAAGAGGCCCCTCCCCTGACCCGGAGTCCTGCTCAGTTAATCCCCTGGACTTCCAGGGCAATCAATGCTGACAGGAAATCGCTGTATGTGTGACTGGATGTAAATGGGACGCTGGACCCGTTTTCCAGCAGGTGTTGTTCCCCACCAATAGATGGAGCCGTCCCCCGGGCGGTAGTGGTGTCTGCTCCTACCAGCACCACTAACGCTGTTGGAGGCGTTTTCAAAAAAAAAAAAAAAGGACAATGCTGCGCCGAAGGTAAGGTCAATAACTGACAAGCAGGATGCACTCGAAGTAGAATGCAATTTTTTTATTTTTTTTTGTTGTTTAAGTTTGAACCACCGGTACGTTTCCTAGCTTTTTTTTTTTTTTTTTTTTTTTTTTTAATTTTACTTTTTTCGGTCGGGTCGGGCAAGTGGTATCTGACCACTCTGGTAGCCTATAATTTTTTTTTCCTTAAATTCATTGGTATAAAAAATCCCTTATGTAGCAACATATACGTCTTCCATTCCATACGATTTATTTAATAATAGTTAAATGGTATAAACATAAACACTGTCATCGAGCTATCACATGTTTCAAATCGTTTTATAGTAAGAACATAGTATTCATAGTAATACTATCGTAAATGTATTTAATCGCATTTGCGACAATACCTTAATATATATGACTGCAACTACATTCATAAGAAGTGATTATGTTTTGAGGTACTCCTTACTATAATAATTTACCTTATCGGAACATAAATTTTATAGTAAAAGGGTCTATTATTTTAATCCCTACCAATTTAATCACTCGTTAAATCGTACAATATATCATTTTTTATGATATTATAATTCCAGTTTATTGAATTAGTGATAACTTTTGGTATATTTGAAAATATAACTTACTTAGTATTAATTTTTTTACCTATAGTTTTACTACCAGTACCAATTAACTTATGTGTCTTAATAACTTTATGATTATAAAAAAAAACTTTTGCATGAGTATAACAAAAGATAGGAGTTGAATATGTTGTATCTCGATATATTATGCAAGCTATGGTAGATATTCAAGAAGATAATAAGCATTGAAATACGTACTTTATGTTCTGCCCAAGCTAGTGATCATAATCCAAATAGTCCTGCTAAATAATGCTTAAGCATAAATTCAACGTGTTGAAACCATGTTAATTTAGATACAACTTTTTTATAATGAAACTAACCAGCAAATGACAGAAGTCATCAATTACGAAACCACAAATTGCAGTAGTAAGAATTTATAGTTAGCAATACCACCAACACGCTAATTTTAAAAAATAAAAAATATATAATTTTATACCTTGGAAACATTTTCATACATCTCTCTTAAGGATTTATTGTTCGACGATAGGTCATACTACCTGAGCACTAAGTTTAATATGGATTAATAAGATGACATTTCAAGCCTTTTATTATCATTGTAGTATTATAGGGAACCCACTAACAACCATATCCGTGTTCATGCCTCAAATGAAGAAACATACAGGGGTTTCACCCGATCTGCATATTGCACGATATCGACCAAAGGTCAGCGGACAGTGTCAAGGATCATGCCAACTGGAACAATCCTTGCACCTCCCTTCTGCCACCCCTCCTCCTTCTTTGGAACATTAACAGTATTAGTGTCAGTCGCCAATTCGCCAAAAACAAAGTTACTGCTTTTGTCGGTTTATGTGACAAAAGCATTTTAATTCAGACCTATGTCGAAAAGACAAACTGGTGGTTTATACCACTAGTTCACATGAGCCTAAGTCGATGAAACCACATTCCAAGGCTCCTGAGCCCTCAACTATGTCATTTCATAGTGACCTGACGGTTTTGCTGTAGGCCTCGACGTGAATCAAAATGCCCTTACCGCGTATCATTATAACACTATTTAAGTTTTTGTGATTGATTCGAGGGTCAACGAGCTACCTTTAGATGGCGGGGCATCAAGTATGCAAGTGGTCATCGAAGCCATAACCTTCTGAACGCCACTCGTGTGCCTCACCAACTGAGTTAGATGCGTTTTCTTTAATTCCGTTTTTTTTTTTTTTTCCGGACGTGTTTTTGCATTCACTTGAACTGCTACGTTTTTGTGGGTATCCGGGACTTGTAATGGGTGTTTGGGGCAACCTCCGGTCTTCGGATCTCAGTCTAGTACTATTTACGAGCATACTCACATGAGGACTTCCCTATACGTATATGATCGTTTTTACGATCATACATGGATGCACGTAGCGCTGATCGCATCCATATATGATTTGAAATAAGCCCTAATGTGACTATGGGCCTCGATCCATACCACTTGAAACTAAAGGGTGGGTCGGTAGGGCACTGTTCTACATCGCCCTAATTTTTTTTTTGATGGCAATTCGAGGGTGGTTAATTTGTCCGCCTTTTTCGACCTGCCTTTCAATTCCAAGTACCCCATAGGCAAATCGGGCTGATTTTTTTTTTTTTTTTTTCAAAGGGCGATGACCTTGAGGTATTATCATCGGACTAACCAACCCAGGCCAATTCAATCTTGTGTCTAATATGACGTCGGGTGGCCTTTCCAGCCAAGGGTGACCTTATTGCCTTCAGGGAACCACCTATGAGGGACACCGGCCAAAAGATAGCCGATAGCGGAGGGACCGAGCATCATTTGAGTGACCAGTTGCTGTGCCTCCCCGATTATCCCCTCCCCTATGAATATCATTAGAGATTGTTTTTTAATGCCGATTGGGGGGACCGACGATTTATCTATAGGTGGCGGGCGCCAAGCATGCACAAGAAAGTACATGAGGCCAATGAGGATTGAACCCAAGATCTCTTGAATGTCATTTGTATGCCTTACCAACCGAGCTACGCGTAGGCCGCTGGATAATCGGGCAGACTTTCACCCTCCAGACCGGTGACTTGGACCCTGCACCCTAAATGCTAGGGCAAAGGGGCAAACATGCCGTTACCTCTCTCCACTGAGAGAGGTAACCTCCCTTCACCGAAGAGAGGCACAAAGCTATGCTTGCAGTGGTCCGTTGTATAGCCTTAGGAGTAGAGGTAGGTAGGTAGTGAAAGAAAGATATGTTCCATGAGATGGCAGAATGGCAAAAATATGTGAGGTGAGAGAAAAATTATGGCTGTCCCCCGATGAGGAGAAGGCAATTTTATTTTTGGGAAAATTTATCTGGTGCCCCTGTAATCTCCATTGTCTTGCATCGCGCTCTTTCGATGGCCCACTTACTCTGTCGTGCCCCTGGGGCCTTTGAACTTTCTTGCATGTCCCTGTCAACAAGAGGCGCAACTTTCCGCGGTGCCCTTACTGGACGACTCATTTCACCATTCCCTGTGCGATATGCCCGAATGAGCGGCATACATCTTTCCACAATGCCCTTGCACCATAAATTTCGATTTGAAGCACGTCGTTTTTGTGGTGCTGCCGCAAAAAATGACCGTGTGTGTGTGTGTGTGTGTGTGTGTGTGTGTGTGTGTGTGTGTGTGTGTTGTCATATTCGCTATACACTAAAAAAAAACATGATTGTACCAGACTGTTTCGTCAGACTTTCACCGACTCATCAGGAGGTTGAACCCCGACAGTTTGTATGTGTGTGTGTGTGTGTGTGTGTGCGTGTGTGTGTGTGTGTGT